TGCCTGGTACAGGATATTCCGTACTCCACTCCTGTGGTAACAGTAAATCCCGTACATAGTACAGGAGATCCTGTATAAAAGTACAGTAAATCCTGTACTCTGAACTACAGTGACAGCTGTACTAATCACTACAGGATTTACTGTGATTTGTTCCCACAGTGTAGCCTAGTCTCGCGCAGAATGCCCCTTGTCGCGCCCACAGTGGAGCGAGCGGCGCGAGGCACGAGGGCGGGTGGAACGAACCCTGGGACGCCTGCCGGTCCGATTAGGCAACCCATCGTACACACAGGCGCCATGTCGATTGCTCTAATAGAAAAGGCAATAGGGACGAGGAAAACTTCATTTGAGTGTCATCTGATGGGAGGACCTCAAACACCAAAGCGTAAATCCTAGCAGCAGAGCACAGGGGCGCGCGCGTGTGGCGCGAGTGTAGGATAAGGCCAAAAATGGGTATGCAGAGGTCCACAAAAATCGCTCGTTCTCCCAAACTAAAAATAATACTTTTTGTGGTTAGTCCTTTTGTTTAGAGAAGGTATTAAGGTAAATTTTAAGCCAAACCCCGTCCAATTTGGTTAAGGTACTCCCCATTTGCCGTCATTTTGAAGAATTGACTCAAAATTATGAAAAATGAAAAATTGTCCTACAACTTTCGGACAGGTCTCATTTTTTTCCATTTTTCATCCTCTTTCCAACGGTATATCCATTTTTTCGATACGACGAATACTTTCGGAGATATTCACAAGTTTTCAAGACCAAAAACTTTTTTAGTGAAAATTTTCAAATTGCGATATCTCAGACCCCTGACCACTTTTCGGGAAAAAAAGTGTGGGGTCTTTTATAGTCCCATAGGACTAACAATCGCTGAAAAAATCGCCTGGTTCGGCGAACGTGTCGGTCTGGACCCTGACGACTTGGCGTGGAATGACCCCTCACTGAAAAAAAAGTCTAGTAACGATAACCAGAATTCTGGTACCAAATACCAGACTGTCTGATAGAATATAACTCAACTAGAATTCTGGTAAAAAATACTAAACTGTCTACTTAGCCTCAGTCTGGTAAACCGTACCAGGTTTATAGTTACCCTTACAATGCCGCCGGGTCCCCTTCTAGTAGTTTTTACCAAACATCCTGGTTAGTTCATGTGCTTGCAAAACTGAAGGAAGAAGTCCAAAATTTAAAAATAAAAATTTTTGTAGCATTGAATCCTGATGTGATGACGACTTCCTTCACGAATCACCTCTAAATCGATTTTCCCCTCCTTCTCTCCTCCGGATTCGAACCGGGATCTCACACTTGTGAGCTGAGCACGTTACCACTGTGCCACCACGTCGCCTGTGGGTCGAGGGGATCCGCACCTGGTGACTCTCTTCGTGTCTGGCTCAGGGAAATACTCCCAGTGTTTCTTCCGGATTTAAGACTCCGAAAATAACGAAACCGGTTGCAGTTAACTCTTTGACACGCTAACATTTCAATTGAACCAAATGTTTCGAAGTTTTACGTATGGCGCCAATTACTGAACAGTCTAGTTAAATTTACTAGGATTATTAACCAGACACCTGGTAAATGTCACAACACCCGATCTGGTTACTTCAACTGATCATCTGGTAAGAGTTACTAGGATTCTCGTATGCGTAACTAATACTCGTTTAACTAGGATTGGTCTGGTACTTTTAACCAGACTTTTTTTTCAGTGCTGTGCCTTGGCAAAAGGCACTGCCGTCCCATCCTTGAGAAAATCCTAAAATCCACGCCTGCGGCCGTGTTCAATAATTCGGCCGGCAAGGCGACCGTGAAAGGGAACGCCGCGGCGCGACACTGGGCCGAAAACACACTGGTAAAGCGCCGCGCGGGGTGTAAAAATAATAACCAAAACAATAAAACGGGGACGAACGGGACGAGCGGCCACACTGTTCGGAAGTGGTCGGCACGATACGGCACGGCACGGCATGGGGGGCGCGACGGCCGCGACGCGCGACTAGCCTCGGCCTCGGGCCTCTGCACTTATTCCGAAAACTGCTGTCCTCGCTCTGTCTCTCTCGCACTCAAGGGGGCTCCACGGGTGCGAGAGAGACAGAGCGACGAGGCACGGTTCCGAGACGGCGCGCTGACTCAGCTGACCTGCTGCACTGCCGAGTGCTGGACTCGACTGGACCCCGGCCCAGTACAGGTCGCGAGGGGCATGCGCCCCTGCCGACGCATCGGGGCTTCGCGGAACGCGGATGGATTAGCTGCCTTGCGAAGGACATCCCCCTCCCCTCCCCTGCCCCCGTCCTCGCCCCGCCAAGGCCACGGCCACTTCCCGCCGGGGCGGGGGGAGGGGGAGTCGGAGTCGGCCAGCGGACCTGTCTCAGCCTGCACTGCAGACTGATTCCGAGAGTCGGTTTCGTCGCTCTGTCTCTCTCGCACTCATGAGCACCCCGTATAGGTGCGAGAGAGACAGAGCGACGAAAAGGCTCGGAATTCGTCAGCTGCCTGCGCATCGACAGCAGGGAGAGGCTGTAAATGAGCTGGTCAAAAACAGAACGCTGACGCGAGGGGTTGCGGTCTCTCTCACTCTCGGCTCTCGCGGGGCGTCCCGTTTGGGTGTGAGAGAGACGGACGAAGCTCCCCCCTCGGAATCACCAGCAACAAGTGGCAGCGGCCAGCAACGAAACCACGCTCGGTGACCCGCGAGCCCGGCGTCGGCCTCCGTGGCCACGGCCAGGGTGCACACTGAACCAGAAGACCGGTGGAGGCGGTCAAAGTCCTGGACGGGTTTTGAGCTCAGGAGTCGCTAAATGGGACTCGAACCGAACGTGTGACCCCACCGATGGATTGTTCTCAGACCGCGGGATCTACTGGTGGGGCCACACGATCGGTTCGAGTCCAATAGCGAATCTGGAGCTCAAAACGCGTCTAGTGTTTTGGCCGCGTGCGTCTTCTGCTTCTGGCCTAGTGTGTGGCGTGTGTTCGCACCGCAGACTGATACTAACAGCCGTTTGCGCCGCGTTGTCTCTCGCACTCGTGGGGCGTTTCGTGCAGGTGCTAGAGAGACAGAGCGATGAAAATTACAATCACTGTTGCGAGCCACGGTTGCGAACTCTCGGTTCGACGCGTCAAGAGTTTCGGCCGCGCCTCCACTGGTCTTCTAGCCCACTGTGAGAGCTCTTCCACCCCCCCCCCACCCCTCCCCCGGCACTTCTCCACCAGGACTGTCAAGACAAACGACATTCTAACGGTATTGTCGATCAGCGGACGGGACGTATTTTGGCCTAAAAAGCGGCGTGCCGGCAGGACGGGGGCGGGTGCGTTTACAGCCCGTCCTTCGCTTCGCGTCGTTCAAATCGAATCTCTCCCTCACTCCGTCACTCCGTCGCTTTCGTTCTTCTCATTTCCTTGAAATGGAGTGGGCTGCGTTTATAGTCTCTGCCATTCATAATAGAAGGGAGATTCCAGAACGCAACAGCAAACACTAGGCCGCCTAAATGACCCCCCCCCCCCCTCTCCCGCATTGCCCCTCGTCTTTCTTTCCGGAGTGGGTTCGGAACTAACTCGGTTCGGAACCTTCGGGAAAACAATAAAAGGCCCGAAAACATATGCGGAGAGACTGCGCGCGTTGCGCGCGCACACACACACACCCACCAACACACGCGCACGCACACGCATTCGACACGGCCAATTTTCGTTCTCTACTCGCCCAAGAATTACAGTGATATCGGTGCGTTACATCCGCCGCGACTCGAAAATTGGTTCCAGGGTTCCGTTACTTACTTCACCGTTCGGCGAGACGATGCACGGTGGTTCGTAAGACCCGTGGAGGCGGTCGGTCGAAACCCCGGACGCGTTTTGAGTGCTTGAGTCGCTAAATGGGATTCGAACCGAACGTGCGTGACCTTGTACGGATTGCTCTCCGAACGAGGAATCCAATGGTGGGGATCGAAGATTCTGTTCCAGTCCTGCTTAGCGGAGCTCAAAACGCGTGCAGAGTTTTGGCGGTGTTTTGGCCGTCGGCGCCGCGGGTCTTTACGCGCGAACGGCACAGCGCAGTCGACAAACCCTTTCCGCAGTTTGCTGGGCCAGACGCGTTTCCGAGGGAGGCAACCACTCGAGAAATCCTGCGCCCACTTGAGCGCCCGAAATCTCTGGAAATCCGAAATCTTCCTCCAAAAAGCCAGAAGACAAGCAAATTTTGGGCGCAAAATCGGTCGAAATCGTACAGGAAACTGTGTGCGCGCAGCCTTCACGCATGCACGATGCGAACGACGGTCGCGGAAGAAACCACCCCCGACTTCTTAGAAGGAAAATTTTGTAAGATTTAAAATATTTTGATAAATTTTGCAGGATTTCACGGCCAGATTGGAGCAGGATTTTTGCTACATTTCGAAAGAATTTCTCCCAAATGCAAGCGAGTTCGCCCGATTCCGTTCGACATTTCTAGCCAACAAGTGTTACGCAGGATTTCGTCTCGCTGAACCCGGCTGATTCCGAGCGCAGCTTTCGTCGCTCCGTCTCTCTCACACTCATGGGGCGTGGCGTAGGGGTGCGAGAGAGACTGAGCGACGACGCACAGCTCGGATCAGCATGCCGGCCGGGCGCACAGTCGGTGGAGGCGGTCAAAATCCCGGACGCCTTTTGAGCTCTAGAATCGCTGGGGCTCGAACCGAACGGGTGACCCCCTCTCCGAACGAGGAATCCATTGGTGGGGTCACACGCTCGGTTCCAGTCCTGTTTGACGACGACTTTGGAGCTCAAAACGTGTCTCGAGTTTTGGCCGCCTGCGCCAGTCCTCTGGCCCACTGTCGGCGACCCCGTACTACTGTACACAGGGGAGAGTGATGAAGCGCAGCTCGAAATCATCAGCCAACAGGTGGGCGGGCCATCGCCGCGGGCCGCGAGCGAGGAACCCGCGGCCCGCGCATGAAGGGTAAACTCTTACCTTGAGGTGCGCTGCACTCACTGCACTGCACTCACTGCACTGCACTCACTGCACTGCTTGGCGTTGACGAAATGTTGACGCTCACCACTGATTTGATGCAGTCGTTGACTTGGGGGTGCTGCAAGGGGTTGACTTGGCGGTGCCGCAGGGGGTTGACTTGGCAGGTGCTGCAGGGGGTTGACTTGGCAGGTGCTGCAGGAGGGGGTTGACGTTAACTTGGCGGTGCTGCAGGGGGTTGACTTGGCGTGCCGCACGGGGTTGACTTGGCAGGTGCCGCAGGGGGTTGAAAGGGTTGACTTTGCAGTTGCTGCGGGGGGCCGGAGCCGGAGGATGGCGCGGCGGCGGCGCGGGCGTGGAGGAGAAAGTGCAGGCGGCACCACTCACCCTCCGCCGCGGCGTTCAGACGACGTCGGGCCCAACTGAGGGCCTGCTCAAATACGCTGACAATGTTTTGCAGAACGCACGGACACCGTTGCACTGAGACACTGGACACTTGGCACACAAACACACCAGCAAACAAACACACACACACTTGCACGGACGCACTGCAGAAAGCCGCACCGTTCGGTAGAATCCGTTGCGGCCAGTTGCGGCCGGGAACACTGACTTTACACTGTGAAACGAATTGGCAAAATCGCGCGCACTTCACGATCCGCCCGGCTCTCACTCGGTTGTCTAAGAGCTGCTGGCCGAAGGACGACGGACTGACGACTGACTGACTGACTGGACTGACGTGACGGAGCCGAGCCGACGCCGACTGGGGCGGGCTGGGCGGGCGGCGGGTGCGCGCGCGCGCGCCGCTGCGCCAAGCCGAGCGCGGGCGAGACGAGACGAGGCTGAGGCTGGTCGAGGCCGTGCGGCGACGCGGCGACACCGAGCGGCCGAGGCCGAGCCGAGCCGGGCCGGGCCGAGCCGAGCCGAGCAGCCGAGCCACACTCGGCTCGGCTCAAGCTCCAACCCCCTCCTCCGCACCCCCTCCAGCCCCTTCCCCGGCCCCCTACCCCGCACGTCGCTTCGCACGTCCTTTGACGAAGGCGCCTTGCCTACCTGCACGGCGTTCAAGCTTTCCAAGGTGGGCGTCGACGCATGAGCGGCGGCGGCTAGCGATTGATTCCGAGAGCCGTTTCGTAGCTCTGTCTCTCTCGCACTAATGGAGCGCCCCTTGCGCTTGCTTGCGCTGCAGCGCGCACCCAGAGTCGTTCAGTCAGTTCAGTCGTGCACGTCGCTCTGTCTCTCTCGCGCCAACACGGGACGCCCCGCGAGTGCGACGGAGAGACAACGCCACTGAAACGGAAACCTGTGTCTGGAAACCTGTGCGGTGGGTCGTCGGACACCATCATCGCCATCATCAAAGCTGTGAGGCCGCCTGGGGGTGATAAAGCAACAGCCAACACCTGAGGGTGGCTCGCTTGTTTTGCTGCTTTTCTTTCCGCAGTGCCGCACCGCGCCCCTGGACCGCGCCTGCCGCTTCTCCTGCCGACTTTCAGAGTAGAGTCGTTTTCGTCGCTGTCTTGCACCTGTACGGGACGCTCCGTAAGTGCGAGCGAGACAGCGACGAAAACGACTTTCGGAATCAGTCTGCTGGCGGGCTGGGGGCTGGTGCATGGCGGCGCGGCGCACAGGGCCATAAAGTTTTTGTTCTTTTGTCCAGGGCGCCTCACCGCGTGGCGCCACGCCGCGTGTCGCTCCTGGACACGCAGAGCCGCTACCAGTGTACCGCGGTACTGTAGTACCCCGCTCAGACCCATCCCCCTGCGGGGAAGGCAGAGTAGCACTTGTTGCGCACTTCCAGTGGCAAAGTGTTGCTTTACTCCTACCAATCGGGCGGCTATCTAAGGTTCAAGAGGGGTGGGTGATTGTCTCATGCCCCCCCCTCCCTTTTCCTCTGGATCCGCGCTTGTCGCCGCGATAAACATCCGCAGCGAACTGCTCTGATCGCTCAGTCTCTTTCGCACTCATGGGGCGTCAGGAGCGAGATGAGAGACAGCGATGAAAATGGAACCAGAGCTCGGAATCAGCCTGCTGGGGGCGATTGACAGTGCAAGAGGCACGCTGTGGAAATGTCGATCTGCTCAGCCGCGGCGGCCAAAATATTTATGCCTATTATTTATTCCGGAAACTGCAGCCCGAAAACCAATGCCGCTCTCTTCCGCCCTTTGTGTTCAATTTCCAAGGAACGAACGTTTTTGTTTTTTTGCTGTTTATTTTTTTTGTCGACTGTGAGACTGTGAAGTGCGGCCACCCTGGCCCCCCCAACGTCGCCTAGTGGCCTCTCCAGTTTTGTACACAGTTTTCCTGTTGACGAAGCCCAGGCACGTCTCTGGATCGTGGGAGGGGCAATGCCGTTTTGACGAGACCCTTCACAATTCAGTTTCACAGACAGAAAAAATAAAGAAAAACAACTTTAGAAAGGCAGCATCATGTAAATACATAGTCGTGTCCTTTCCCTATTCCCCTTCGAGACCAACCACCCCCCGCCCCCCAACCCGTGTGTCCTGTACGTACACTGATTCCGCACAGTGCGACCGTCGGTCTATCTCTCTCGCACCGGTGCGGAGCCCCCCATGAGTGCGAGGGAGAGACCTCCCACTCGGAATCAGCCTGCTCGCTGCCTCCTCGTCTATCCTTCCTTCTCTAGGCCTGCCACCTAATTGTGACGTCGCACAGAACACTCGCGTCGACAAACGATGCGCCTCCAATCAGAGGGGCAGGATCCGACCAGCAGACCGATTCCGAGAGTCCTTTCCGTCGCTCCGTCTCTCTTGCACTCGTGGACCGTCCCGCAATGGTGCGAGAGAGATGGAGCGACGACCTCCCTAGGTCCCGCACGTCTCTCCGGCTCGCCCACAGGGGCTACAGGGCCCGCCACATGCCGGCCACCAGGCGGCCGCACTTCCACGAACGAGGGCACCTGGAAAGGCGAAAGGGACAGTCGTCTCCAGGAAGGAGGGGAAGATGGTTCGGTTCGGCTGGTTCGGCGCACGGTGTGTTCGGTGTGTCCAGAGCGGGCAAGGGGAGTCGGGGGGAGGTCGTGGATGGCTACAGTGGCGTGCGCAGAAATTTTGAAAGGGAGGGGTCAGTCCATGCTGTTTGCCTACTTACAGGGGGAAAGTGACGCAATTTGCCTACCTTCCAGGCGGCTGTCTAGTGGCCAAAAGGGGGGGTCATGACCCCCCTGACCCCCCCCCCCCCCCCCCTGCGCACGCCAGGATGTGCAAGAGGAGAGGGGAGGGGGTCGTCACAAAATTGCGGTTCGGTGCAAGATTTTGTTACTTTTTTGACAGATTTTGATTGTTAGTTTAACGTATGCACTCATGGATTTTGGCCAGAAGAATCTGGAAAGCACCTTTAATAGTGTTCTAAAGCCCGACAAAGTTTCATGGATCTTCGTTGGAAAACAAGAGAAAACAGCGACTGACACTCCATCTTTCAAATGATACCACTCTCATTTTCCCACATGCTGTAAGATCTGAGATGAATAATGTCCCCCCAAAACTCATTTTTGAAAACAATACTCGTTCTCTTCACATAGCTTTTTGTATGTTAGTGTGTGGTGTGTAAACAACGAGTAAAAAATAGTTTGTGTTGGAGCAAGTCCGATACCAATTTCAAGTCAAGGTTGCTAACAGATAATCTTACTTCAGTGCCTTATGATTGTATGTATTTGGTAGTTACATTTGTGTTTCGTTGTATTTTTTGTTGACACCGGAGTGTTCCCTTCAAGTAATTTCCTTGCTTGGAAAATATACCATACTGAGCCTCCCTTAATCCAATTTCATTTTATTTCTTGTGTATACTGGTACACACGTACCTATGTAGACCTTTTAAATTTGCAATTTTTTGCATTTTATTTTTGCAATCCTATATAGATAATATTAATTGTGACGATGGCTACAATTCCAACTGCTGTCATGCTGTCTATTTTGTGACGCTCCTCAGCCTTGTCAGCCTTTTGATGCTTTCCATTTTCATTTCTAATAGAAAAGTCTAACTGTAGTATTTTCATTATTTGCTCTCTTACCTTTCCTCACATGTTTAGAAGTTTTGAGTTTTGTATTACTGACCTTTCACACAGTGTTTGTTGATTGTGACCAGAGCATTAACTTTGTGGAACTGTCTAAATTGCTCATATACATGCTTTTTAGTAGACATTATTGGTTGAAAGCCTTACATTGCCATTACTTTTCAAATTTATGTGCCAAAAGCCAGCTGGCTTGCAACTCATGACCATTAGATAGTTTTAAATCGTTACTTATGATGGAAATGTGTCTAATAATTTGTGACAATACTCTTAAGTCATGCTGTCTGGAAATTGCAGTAATGATTAAATGTAGCATTTTCAATGTGAGGAACTTAGTGCCTTAGAATAAATTTTAGTTGCAAGACAATAACATAATGTTCAATTATGGTATCGTAAGACCTTATGTCACACTGCCTCTACATTGCCTCTGACATTACCAGAGTAATGTCTTTGTTTGAGGAGATGTTTTACCTTTTGAAGTCATGGTTACATTTTGTTTTTACTCTAAAGGTCAAACTAAAACTACCTGCATCTTAGCTGATAAAATTTTCCCGGATTGGGAAATTTGGCATTTGGCTTCTCTTTAGATGTCTAACAAGCTCCAAAAATGTCAGAAGAATTGGTGAGGGTCATGGAGAGGTGTGGCTTAAATGGAGATTGTAAGCTTGGGTGACTTGGGTTCCAGGTCCATGCCACATATATGTTTTATTTGAATATATGGCACATACATTATTGTTACAATATTGCAAGTGACATTTAATCGACGCCTCCTAACAGAATAATCCTAACTGTCAGTGCTGATCCAAGACAATCCTAACTGCTCAGAGGTTTCAGAGGAAGCTAAAACTGCTCATTAGCTCTCTTCAGTCCAAAGCAGTGAGTCATGATATCACTGAAATACAGCTTCCACATTTATATGCAAGGTTTATACTTTTTAACAAGTCCATTGCCAAGAAATTTGGAGCAGCATGTTGGTGTCACAGAATTTTATAAGAAATAGCTTTTTACGTCGTACAATCTGCACTGACAGTTAGGATTGTCTTGGATCAGCACTGACAGTTAGGATTATTCTATTAGGAGGCGTCGAAAATTTAATCATGATTACCTCAGTCAACAAAGCACACAGTACACAAGGCAGATATATCACACATATTTGTAGCCTTTTTGCCAGAGACTAGAGCATTACTCATTGCTGAAGGAACTTTAAATAAGAAAATTGATCCCCATAGTTAAAAAATATGGAAAGTAGTCTAAAATGACGAGTTTCATGACGTTTGGTACAGAAAAATCCTGCAAAACTATCGAGATACTTTTTGTTCAACAGCCACTTACCGAAGTTTACAAAGTCTTTTGATGCAGATTTCGTGTGCTGAGTTTCAAGGTAGTGCTACGTTTTTAAAAAATGTGATATAATATTTCACATGATACAATATAATTTCTCCCCTCCCCTACCATCTTAACAACTTCAACAAATTGATCACATAACAAAAACCATTTAGAATTGTTAAAATATTTCAACAATAGCAATGAATGTTAGTGTAGTCTGCTATGAACTACAGCATAAAAATTTTAAGTAGGTACGGAACTCCTAGTATTAGAAAATAGAGCATCCCTGAAGAATGAGAAAGAAAAGGGTTAGACCCTCCAAAAGTATAAGATAAAAAATAGGCAACTTAACAAGTTCACTTTGGTCCAAAGTCTTTGGGTGAAATGCAATGAAATGTTAGCATAAGTATTTACTTCCCACTCATTTGGAACATTAAAAGACAGAAATGAAACCATAGAGAAAGAATGAAAGAACACATCCAGCAAAAGATCCATTCACAACTCTGGCATAACAAAAGCAAAATAAAAAGAGTTTTTCTCTGCCCTACCTCTTCTCTTTGATTGATAAAAATGTGAAAACTCTTTGAAGTGTGAGTGCTACAAAAACAAATGGTTAAAGAATGATTTTTACATGCCATGAATTGACAATAGAACAGTTAACATGAGCCATAATATGAGCCAGTCAATGAGCATTAAATTTTCAGGAACATACAGGCAACTTTTCAAACCAAGTTTGAGTGAGATTAAAATGCAGTATCTTTCAAAGGAAGAGGCAGTAGCATATGACATCAGAGGAAAGTAATCAGGCATGAAAGTCTCACCCATCCTAAACTGCACTCATTTTTAAAGAAATAATTCAGGTAATCATATAAGTACAGTATAAATGACTAGTAAATAAAATAAAAATAATAATAATAATAATAATAATAATAATAGTGGAAGTAGTTACATCATTTCATCAATCAGAAAAAGTAAAAACTGACTTTACAAAAATACAATGCAAAAATTAACTTTGCTACAGCACAATTCGACGCTTCCTAATAGAATAATCCTAACTGTCAGTGCTGATCCAAGACAATCCTAACTGCTCAGAGGTTTTTAGAGGAGGCTAAAACTGCTCATTAGCTCTCTTCAGTCCAAAGCAGCGAATCATAACATCACTGAAATACAGCTTCCACATTTATATGCAAGGTTATTGCCAAGAAATTTGAAGCAGCATGTTGGCGTCACAAAATTTTATAAGAGATAGCTTGTTACATCGTACAATCTGCGCTGAAAGTTAGGATTGTCTTGGATCAGCACTGACAGTTAGGATTATTCTGTTAGGAGGCGTCGAATTGTGGTCATTACATACAGGAATGCCAACTCGGAGTGGTTTAGTACCGTCAAAAGATTACATTGTCACTAAAATATTAAGACTGAGCATTGGAAAAGTAATGGAAATAATTTTAAAATTTCTGTCAATAATAGAACATGATAAAAAGTCAGAGAAGCTTGCACATTAATAGCATTTTAGTACACTGGGAAAATCTACCTCTATCACAAAAATTAAGTCTTATGGTATTAAATATGCTCTAAATAATTGATGCAACCTGACAGGAACATAATACAAGAGAATCTCAACTCTCAACATACAGCACCATTTACAACTTCGTCTTAGTTTTGTTCAAGTGAGCAAGCTACCAGAAATTCTTACCTATCTTACAAGTATTTTTAAATTCTTCTTGTAAAAGTAAACAAGTTTGGATTTTTAATATTCCACATCCAGAGTTTACAAAAACTCCAGTTCGGTTTTGCTAACGGTAGAAAGAGCAGATAGTCATGATAATGTTGATGAGTTTGCTGAAGACAAGGCAGGCACTACACTTGAATTTTCAGCAGCATGCTCGGTTGGTAGATCTACAGAATGGTTGATACCATATGGCCTCAAATGATAAATAAGATACTCCAGAACATATAACTGGTGAGGTGAAACATAGTGGAATGATATGGCACTATCTGAGCAGCACTCCAAGCCCTAGGAAAAATTTAATTGAATGTTAATTATTATTATACTTGTGTAATGTTCATGATTTTATTTGTATCACTATTCATATTCATACCTCTTTGACTGGATAGTAAATGTAGTCCCAGTACCAGAAATTTTTGTCTACGTGTCCCACTGTGATGTGATGATTCGGGACAAAGGGAAAGAATCTACCTCTCCCTTGAGGATCACGAGAATCTCCAGCTTTAACATCAACCTGTTCTAAGCATATGCCTGAAAAAAAATAATTTAATATTGTACACATCACTACCAGAGGAGCTTCCACAGAAACTTTTCATAAAATGAAGAAAAACAAATGAAACAAACACATCTAGAGTGTATGGAATACATACCAATTTCCACATCCTCTGCCCCTCCATGATCCTGACGACATTTATCCTTGTCGGGAATTCCTATTTCCACAAATACGAACTGCTTCTCCGCTTAAAACGTAGCCTGTGACAAGCGTTACACTTACATTATTTTCTTAAATAAAAAGGTCGGCTATGGAAAAGCATTATGCATTGGCATTGAGGTGATGATGTCACCCCTAAGTTGAGATAAGATTAAGATTCAAAATACCTGCACCATCATATATCCTTGTTTAAAAAATGGCTTGAATCTGCAACCCAAATATATAGGGTCGGTTGGGTTGTAAACAGAGAGCGAGAGCATGGCACACAAAATTTCAACAATGACATACGTGAAAGTTATATACAAGATTACAGTGTTTCAAATGTTAAAGTTCATTATTATATGTATTTTGAACTATGAAGAAGCAGTACTCACATATCATCATCTGCTTTCATAACCCAGTACACTTGATCTAAATAATGCTTATACACATATTTGAATGATTCCTTGGTCTTTGACCAAAAATAATCTCTACCCTCTTTTATGCCAAGGTCAACAAAAGGGAGAGATTTGTCTAGAAACATAAATGTCAAAGATTATTTAACACGTTTTATTATATAACTTCAGAAAATGCACAGGATACAAGCCATTTGCTGTGCTCATTGATGTGGACGACTATCACTTTTGACTATGTGACATAAAGGAGAGATTTTCTCTTGCAAAAACAAAATTTATCACTGTGACAATTGAGATTGTACGGACTGAAGATGCCTTGGAACTGAACTAAGGGACGGTCACCCATCAAAACCACACTGGGCCGCTTGAGTCAGTAAACCACTCCAAAGCCAGTATTGGGCATTAACAATTTGAAACTGTCAAGGCTTCATTGATCAGTTTCTCTTTTACCTGGATGAGTTTTGATACTTCTGCGAGATTGAGGCAGGCCAACAGAGCACAGAAGTTGGGCATTTTGATTTCATGGAAGTCTAAAGTAAACAAAACATTTCGAGATGACAGCCTGGTGACAGCACTTCGCCGCTGGACACATTGGAGGGGGAGGGGGGGGGCCTCACTGCGGCTCCTGCCCACAGAATCAGTAAGATTGGTCAGAAGAGCACTCAGTGGTGTTCAGCAGCCTTGCACTTCACTTCAATTCCTAATAAACAAAGGAAAGAAGGAAAATTATTACATGTAGCATGACCCATCCAAAAGTCACAGAGAAGATGGTAAAGACAGCTGCTTACCGGTATTTCCATGAAGAGGCCTGGTATTGCGAACAGCCCATTTCCAAGCTGAGTCACCATGTAGTGAGGCACCCACTCCTTAGTGGGTGCCTCACTACCTTCTTCCCACTCATTAGTTCCTGCGAAAGACACCTGTGTCAGAAACACTGGGCACGTCCCACAAACAAACTGTCTCAGGATCAAGACAAACAACACTGGAAGCACAACACTAACACAATAAAAATGAGAGGCAAATATAAAGCATAAGCAAAAGCAAACAAAAAAGATTGTGACAATACATGAATGACAATTAGAACAAGATGTCAGTAGTGTCATATCAATCCCTAGGTGAACAATAACAAATTTTGGTGGGCTTGGAAAGAATTTTCTCGGCTCTTGTAGGAGTCCGAGAATGGCCCAAAGCAGTGAGATCAATTTTATGCTACCGAGCATAGACTTCTCCAGAAAAAATAATTTAAAAAAGAGGTAGCACTCAAACCTTGCATTCCTGTCGGAACTTCATCCGATGGGATGTCTGAAGCCTTGGGCTGGTAACAAGGATCAGGGGGCTCTGATGCATTATTCGAGAATGCCCTCCGATAATGCTCGCTTTGTCTCCACTGGTCAATTCTTCCACAGGTAATGGGAACGTGGTTGTCAGAAATTGGGTGGGAACTACGGAGGCAATCCCCCGCTGCAGCAGCCTCTTGATCTTAGAAGTCGGAGGAGACACTTGGTTAGGGAGAAAATGCCGCTCACAAATCCGCAAATTTCTCTTTAAATGATCAATCGGTATCTCACACAGTTCCTCGTTACCAGTAAGTTGAACCCATTTTTCAAATCTAGAAAAATATGACATTGCATTAATAATAATTAGCAACATTTATCCACAAAAACTATCACAAAATATTAGGTTAACTCACACTTCACGAGGTGCACTACTTGGAACAAGAAACATGCCCGTTTTAGGTGGTGGATTTGTCTTCTGATTGTTGCAGCCAATAACTCTACATCTTGCGTGCTGTTTCGGACTCATTTTCGAACGGACCAACTAACTTTTAAGTGAAAAATTGTCTAAAAACTGCTAAAAACCTGTTGTTTGTTGCCAAACAACGCCAAGTCCCTCCAAAAGCAGGGCTGCAACTACTCCCCCCAATTTAAACTGGCATCACTTCAAAAATACAGACTGCATTTAATAGTCCAAAGTATGGGAATAAAATGAAAAAGAAAGATACATGAAAATAGTATAGTATATTTCGGCCCAAAGAGATAGTCTGCGTCGACTTATTCTCTCCCGAAAAACTCGGTCTTTATGGTTTCAGGTTGGTGGTACAAGATCCCCCCCCCCCCACTGCTCCTGCCGCCTTTTTCTTTGGTCGTTCAAACATCCTGACGTCATGTTTGTTTTGGATTTCACTCCCTACTTTTTCAAAACATTGAGGTTGGCACAGCCCAGTTTTGTGAAAATTAGCTTTCACGTTAATCAACATTCATGTTGACAATTACACACAGCACCGATTTTCGGATTCTGATTCAGACGAGTAAATATTGGTGTCGGTGCTAAGCAATGCAACGCAATATGCTATCCAATAGGATTGGATATTCTCGCACCAGCCAATGAGTTGTCGGTCGGCCAGGAGCGCCACACAGCCCCGCGCCATTTTCAAACCTCGGCCGTCGGGACGTCGGGGCGCGAGGGAATGCCCACCTTCACTTTCTCCTGCAAAGTTAGAACAAAGTGTTAACACGCCGTTCAACCCCGCGCATCTGCGGAGACGAACGTGCGCCCTCAAGTGGGAGGAGGGGGGCGTTGACTCTGTTCGTCCGAGAGAGGAAAACAGTCGCCGGCCGTGCCTCTTGGCCAAAACATCGCGGAGCTCGGCGGAGCCTTATCCGGCCGCCGCGTGCGCGTGGCGTGCAGTGGCGTGCGCGTGCGGCGCGGGCCGGAACGCGCGCGAGCGGCTCCATTCAGAGCTCTGGGGCTTTGTGCCGCACTGCCGTGCCCGGCCGCGCCGCTGTACCGAGGCTTCGATAATGCTGCGCCTCGCCGCGTTTGTCTAGGCAGGCGACGCCACTGGACTGTGGGCACGGCGTCCTGCGTACGCCACGCAGTACCACGTGACCCGCCCCTCAGGCTGTGACTGCAGGGAATGCCCGGGAACGCCATGGCGTAGCAAGTCATCCTGGACTTCCTGGCGCAGTGGTGGATCCAAAGACTTCTATCGCAAGCAGCAAAGCAGCACTTTTTGCCGACTGACAGGGGAAAAGTGAGGCATTTTGCCTGCCTTTCAAGGTGCCATCACCCCTTCCCCTCCCTGCAGTTACGTGCGCAGGGTGTGTGTGTGTGTGTGTGTGTGTGTGTGTGTGTGTGTGTGTGTCAGGGGGGTCATGAACCCCTCCCCCTTTGGCCACTAGACAGCCGCCTGGAAGGTAGGCAAACTGCGTCTCTTTCCCCCTGTAAGTGGGCAAATAGCATGGCCTGCCCGCTCTTTCAAAATGTCTGCGCACGCCACTGCCTCCCTGTCCTGTCCAGGCCTTCCTGGCCTTCCTGGCCTTCCTGGCCTTGGCCGAGGTCCAGCAGCGCGGCAGCGCGAAGGGAAGCCGCGAAGCGCGCCGGGCCGTGCACTGGATGGCAACGCGAAGAAGGGTCGGCGTCGGCGCGGCCGGCCCGGCGGTAGTTGAACTACATCGCTACCCGCCCCACCCCGCCCCCGCCCGCCCCGCCCCCCCCGCCCCGCCCGCCCGCCCCGCTCCGCCCCGCTCCGCCACGCCACGCCCCGCCCCGCCCCGAACCCCCCCGCCCCGCCCCGCCCCGCCACGCCCACGCCCCGCCACGCCCCGCCCGCTCCGCCCCGCCGCGCTTCCCGCCCCTCGGCCCGCGCTGCCCGCGCCGAGCCCTGCAACTCTTACCGGAGCGGCAGGCCCGGCAGGCCGGCAGCACAGTCGCAAGCCGGCACCGCTACCCGCCTCATCTCAACAGGTGAGTGGCTCGGCTTGACTCGGCTCGGAAGCACTCAGAGTGGTACTACCTTCTACCCGGCACCGGCGCCCCGGCTCCCCTTTTCCGTACCACCGTTCGGTGTTGCTTTAGAAGCCAAGAACAAGTTCCCAACCACAACACTAATTTTCGATTCAAAACTGTAGGCAGAGCTGGTGCTGGGATGTAAATCGTTCACTCTGTATCGAAACGAAAATGAATTTAGCGACGGTGACGAAGTGACGAGTCTCTCACTGCGACGTGTGCTGTGCTGCACCTCAGATTTTTGTTCAATCCCGACAAAATTCCGCGACCAATGCTGCCTTTTAATTCCGCAGAAGCCGCGGTTTTTAGCAGATGATACGTTCACGTATCAGCGTGCTTGTACTCTCGTGCAGAGAGTACCGAGTTTCCGGCTAGCCAGGCAGCAGTTGCCTCGTTGCCTGACTAGCAAGCCTAGAAGAGGCCGAGCGTCTCGCTGGCAAGGCAGCGGCTGGCTAGCCTGCCTAGAAGATTATGAGCGGAGGGCCCGCAGCGTGCCGCGCCGCGCCGCGCCGCGCCGCGCTCGCGCCGCTCAATGAATCGGGGGTGCTGCGGGGGCTCGGGTTGCGCGCGCGGCGTATAACCTCGACACCCAGCTCTCTAGTACTCATGAAGTGCGTCCCTCGCGTTGCGCGTCGTTACGAGACGCTGCTAGCACGCATCGCGTAGCTGCCCCCCTCGCCCATTCCCTTGCCGAGACGCCACGTCCCGCCGCGCCCCGCCACACCCCGCAGCAGTCTACACACACTCGCACTTGAGCCTTGAGTGCATAGTGCAGCGCCCCCCCTCCCCCCCCCGAACCCCTGTCCCTCTCGAGAAGCGGCGCGTCGGCAGTCGGCAGTGTGCGCTCTTCTTGCTTATCTATCTTGAGGTCGGGTTCGGGTGGCGCGCCAGCCGGCCGGCCCCGCTTGGAGATGAGGCTGACACGCCGCGTACCGCAAGGCGCCTTGCCCTAGTACAGAACACAACTTTTACGGGTATTGAGTATTTATGTGATTAGCCACCAAATTGTGCATCCTTGCGTTGAAACAACGAAAGTGATACCCAACACAAGTGGTATCGGACATATGAGTGTCCCACCGTCATTGCGAACATGTTTAACACAAAACAATGGCACGTTAGGATATTCAAAAGTTATACTAAAATTGACATTTTCATGAATTACCATGCGTAAGAAATTTGTCAAAAAAAGAGTTCCGAGTGTTTACTCTTTGAAAGAAATTGACAAAATGTCACATTCATACATTTCAATAAACATTCTCATAAGTATCATCTGCTTTCACGTTAGCGTTAGCGTTAACGTTTTTTTTCTTTTTTTCGACGTTAAAGATCTGGGAACTGATAGTGGCGGGAGCGCTTAGCCATGGCTTAGCCTTGTCTTTTACTTGTCTTTAATTTCTAATCCGGCAATTTGCATCCGGCTTTGTCTCTTTGTCTTATGCATGAACGGGTCGATCTACCGACTTTCCGACTTCATTACGCACCGCGGCCCTAAAATGCTTCAGGAAAGGCTCTGCCGCGCAAGCGTGTTTTTTGGAGGTTTCCGATCGCTCGATTGTTTTGGTGAAATCATTTCGAATGAAACGCACCCGCCTTTATGGATTTCTTAATTTTATGTGCGAGGCTGTTTGTAAGTGACGCTTTGAAGTAGAAGAGGGAGGGAGAGCCCACCCGGGCCGGACGCGGCACCTGGACAGGTCGCCGCCCTCCTGGAGTCTGGAGCCAGCCAAGCCAGCCGCTGGAGTCCGGAGTGTGTCGCGAACGCGGGGTGGCTGGAGGATGCGGAAGGCGAGGGTGGCCCTACAATTCCCGACAAATTTATGCAGCCCGTCTAAGAGTGGGGAATTTGGCGCGGCATAATCGCCTCTTTGTGAACCGGCGCACAGTGGGCCAGAAGACCGGTGGAGGCGGCCAAAACTCCAGGCGCGTTTTGAGCTCCAAAGTCGCTAAATGGGACTCGAACCGAACGCGTGACCCCACCAATGGCTTGCTCTCCGAACGAGGAATCCATTGGTGGGGTCACACGTTCGGTTCGAGCCCATGTAGCGACTCTGGACCTCAAAACGCGCCTGGAGTTTTGGCCGCCTCCACCGGTCTTCTGGCCCCCTGTGCTGCGGCGCGCGGAAGCCGGCGGGAAATGTAGGCACGCCGGCGGCGCCGCGCTGGAGCCTGGAGCCTGCGCTAGGCGAGCCGGTGAAATCATAGTAACCGATGCGGGCGGGGCGGGGCGGGGCGGGCGGGGCAAGAGTTTGCGGCGAGGAGAGCCTCGCGTGCCCGGCCTGCAGGTACGGCTTCTCGCGCGGAAAACACTGTAGCCGTGCGCTCCACTCGAAATTTAATGGGCATCGGCCCTCCAGCCCTCCAGACGCTCCAGCGCTCCGAGCCAGCCGGCCTGTCTCCGCTCACTTTGTGGTGCGCGAAGTAAGTTTTGCCGGAGGGGCAAGGGTCTTTGAACTGCAGATATCGAAGTTGGCGGGCACGCCGTGCACGGAGACGCGGGGTGGCGGTCGGGGGATTTGGCATATTATCCAGAGCAGGGCCGTGCCGGGAGCGACGGCCGCAGTGTTTTGTGCGCCCCTTTCGAGGCCCTGCTCTTGAGGGGCGGCGATTCGTATCCGAAAGCATCTTCCACGGCGTTCGTGCAGCTGCAAGGGGAGGGGGGATGTTGGCCACAAACTAGGCGGCTACTCAAGGTCGCTACCGAGGGGCCTGACTTTGCCGGCCACCCGAACTGCTGCGGTTACGGCGGCATTGACTGCGGCAAGGTGACCATCGTGGGACTAATTCAACGATTCAACTTGAAAGTGTCGCAGCCGCCCGCCTTTTGGCCCCCACCCGGTCTACCGAGAAAACCACTCCTCTCAGTAGGGACGCCCCGTCACGTGCTGGTGTATCACCGACATGGCCGGGCGGGCCCGAAAGCCAGACGATCATTTGTGGTCCAGGCATTAATCGCAATCGCAATAGCGCCTGGGAGGTAGACCACCAGCCCATTCGCAACGCACCGCTGTGCAGACGGTGGCCTACCTCGCCCCTGTCGGGCTCCATAGGCGCAAGGTAGGCCACCGCCTCCACAGCGGTGTGCTGCGAGACGAGCCGGCGGCCTACCTCACAGGCGCTGAGGGCCACAAGTACGCGGTGCCAAACCCGCGCTATGAAACAGAAGTGCGTGTGTAACCACAACTTTGTGGCGTGGCATTGGGTGGAATCGTTAAAAGGGCGGGCCGGTCTGGTATTGTCTTGTCGCCCGGACAAGATAGCGCTACCCGATAGGGCAGTGTGGTGGTGCGCGTGGCGCACAGTGGGCCAGAAGACCGGTGGAGTTGGCAAACTCTAGACGCGTTTTGAGCTCCAGAGTCGCTGAATGGGACTCGAACCGAACGTGTGACCCCACCAATGGATTCCTCGTTCGGAGAGCAGTTCATTGGTGGGGTCACACGTTCGGTTCGAGTCCCATTCAGCGACTCTGGAGCTCAAAACGCGTCTAGAGTTTTGGCCGCCTCCACCGGTCTTCTGGCCCACTGTGTGGCGACTCGCGGCCCGGCAGGCCGGCAGGTGGAAAGAATGGCGGTGCCGTATGTGAAACATGTGAAACGAAACGCGGTGCTCTCTAGACTGGAGCGGAAGCAGCGGAAGCGCAGTGGATTCCCAGAAAAGTGCGCGGCCAGACGGCCCGACGGCCAGGAAACCGTAGAAGCTCCATCGCGCGCTAACAGCCACGCTGTCTGGTCTGCGCGTGGCGCGTACCGCACGGCCGCTGCCTTCGCTGCTTTTTGGCGAACGGACACCCCGACGCCGTTATGCCGCATGGAAATCATGGGAGTAATTCATAGGGAGCGATAATCATGGAAGTGAATCAATTGAGCGATTGAGCAACGAGGCGCGAGGCGCCGCGGCCGGTGGCGTACACTTCACAGTGCAGTACAGTGGTGTCACCGCACTTGTCGTTTCAACTACCGGGCTGTTGTTGTTGTTGAACGTGGGAAATGCATTCTGTTGTTTTCGTTTTCCGACCCCGCGGAAGACCCCCTTCGCTTCACGAGGGGGGCGTCGACCGGTGTCACTTGCAAGCGCGCGCACTCTCTCTCTCTCTCTCTCTCTCTCTCACACACACACACACACACCTCTGCACACTTACGCAAGGCGGGTGTCTTCCTGCCTGCCGTGCCACCCCACCTATTATTCCTCAGGGAGGGATTTTTGTTTTTCTACGTTACACTTGATCTGCACGTCGCTGCGTCGCTGCCTGCTCTGCGGTATCGCTTCGGCTTCGGCGCGCCTCGCGGCCGCCCGCAGCCCGCGGGGCCGGGAGCCGAACTCGGAACCGAAACTTGGCCCAGCCCTTTCCCACGCCTCAAATTCGCAAATTTGCATAAACGATGGAAAACGCTTCGGAAGCTATCCGAACTACTCGTCAAGAAAAACGTTGAGCGCAGCCCCATGTTCGAAGTGCCAGTTAAGTTAGCTTCTGATAGGTGCAATAAGGGAAAGTGGGGTAATTCCGGACACGGGGTAATTCCGGACACTTCGATTTTCACTGGGTTTGAGTGAAGATAACTCAAAAGCCCGCCTAACAGAGGAAGATAATCAGTTTAAAAGGAGAATTCCAAATCGCCAAAGTAGGAGGTCAAACCGTTTGCCTGTGGTCGCTTCACGAAATTTGAGTACCATCAAAAATAGGCAAAAGCTGCATCTTTCCCTCGTATTTCCATGTACTTATCGTACCTTACCGTCAAGTTCAGCCCCATGACTAAAATTTTATCATATTATATGGTCATTGGACTTTACTTTGGCGTTTCGGGAGTGCTTGTATGGCTCGCCGTTTTCTTACAGTTGAACATCAAAGGTTTTCACTACCTGTGGGGTAAATCCGGACAATAAGGGTTATTTTCTTCAATTTCCCGCATAATGTTAAGGTAGTGGGTTCAAAATTGTGGACATGCATCCCCACCGTTAAGAAGGATAAAGAAAGAACGAAAAATAGCATTGCAGCTATGTTTAAGAGCTTAACTCAAGATAATGTTGTCAATTTAGGGGTTTTGATAGAAATTATTCCTTATAATATGCTTTGAGTAATAATCAAACACTTCAGTTCGCAGCAAATGTCCTTGAACGCCTTCTAAAAGCATGCCTCACATCAAAACAAGCGAAAGTAAGCTCGAGTAGTGTCAAATTTTAAGGTCGTCCGGCATTGCCCCATAGGTCGTCCGGAATTACCCCAGCCTGGGGCAATTCCGGACACGTGCAGGGTTTTTCTTAGGCGCCTATATCTCCCTAACCGTTGCTGAGATTTGGCTTTCATGTATACCATTTTGAAGGTAAAGGTCCATACTTTACTCTCCTGTCATAACATTAAACCCAAGAAGCATATTCAAGCTCAAAGACCAAAAAGAAAAAAAGCGTCCGGAATTACCCCACTCTCCCTTATAGTTGATTTCTTTTTTTATTTTTCATCGATACCTTGGAACAACATTTAAAACCGTAGTCTTTCCAGTTCCAGTAATGATCCTCTCCCACGTTTAAGCGTTAACGGTTCCTCTTTTCGTTCTTCCGCGGCGCGTCCATCGCGTGGTGCCGCGTGGTGCGGCGGCGTCGTGTCTCCATGACCTCTCCCAACCCCTTCCGGCGCGCCCGGCCGCTCCGCCTGCTGCGGCACGCTGCGGCACGCAAGCGCGAACGCCTTCCCCGTTGTGCGGCGCGCTAACGCTTCTCTGCTTTGCTTTCCAGGCCCGGTCAGCCAATCAGCGTCGCCCGCTAGGTCCGCCGCCATGAGTCTGGACGAGGTAAAAGAAGCTGGGACTGGTTCGCCGAAATTTGCCAGGTTTGCCTGGTTTGCCTATTCATGCAGTGTGGCGGCGCCGAGGCGCGGCCCACAAAGTTGGGAACCGTGCAGTGCGGTGGTGCGGTTCCGTTCCCGCTGCGATCATTACTCCGAGAGAAAGCTCTTCCTGACGTGGATCACGAGCGGAGGACAAACGGAGGGGGTGGGGGGTTGCTGTTTGCTCGGAGTGGAGCCACTGCATCCCGGCACCAAGTCGCGCAACAAGTGTTCTTTTCGAATTTGCGCTTGTTTGTGTTGTGACACGGCGACTCCTTGCCACACAGAGGTTCAACGCGGCCGCCGACACGGTCAAGTCCCTGACGCAGAGGCCGACCAACGACGAGCTGCTGGAGCTGTACGCCCTCTTCAAGCAGGGCTCCATCGGCGACAACACCACAGGTACGCAGTGCGCCACGTCCCACAGTGGGCGAGAAGACTGGTGAAGGCGGCCAAAACTCTAGCGAGGGGGAAATCACTCGCGTAATAGTCGGGTCACCGATTCCTAGTATTACGCGTAATAGTAATAGCGTAATAGCCAAATTTCTTAGAATTTTCCCTATAATGGTCCGATTTTAGCCTAAATCTGGATATTTTTCGAGCGTAATAAGCTTTCTGTAATAGCGTAATAAACGTAATAGGGAGTAGTCGGGTCACAGGTTTTAAGAGTGATTTCCCCCTCGAACTCTAGACTCTAGACGCGTTTTGAGCTCCAGAGTCGCTGAACAGGACTCGAATCGAACGTGTGACCCCACCCATGGATTGCTCTCCGATAACAAGGATAATCCATTGGTGGGGTCACACGCTCGGTTCGAGTCCTGTTTAGCGGCTCTAGAGCTCAAAACGCGTCTAGGATTTTGGCCGCTCCACCGGTCTTCTGGCCCACTGTGCGTCCGCCGCCTTCACGAAAAATCGAAAAAATTAACTGACGTGTTGTTTGGTTCGTCCTGCAGAAAAGCCCGGCCTCCTGGACCTCAAGGGCAAGGCCAAGTGGGAGGCGTGGACGGGCAAGCTGGGGATGGGCCAGGACGAGGCCAAGGAGGCCTACATCGCCAAGGTGGACGAGCTGCTCGCCCTGTACCCGCACTCGTAGTTTTGAAGCACGCAAAGCACGCGTAGGCTGGCGTCGTGGCGCAGAGACAATGCAGCTGCAGAAAAAGGCATCCATCCATCCATCACCTTTCGGTAGCAGCGCTTGTCTTTTTGTCCGGATTAACGATTTAGCTCTCTACCGCTCAAACTGTTCAAAAATGCGTACCTTGAATGCTTGTGTTACTGTTTCCTAGTTGTAAAGAATCCAGAAATAAAATTGTCGTTATTTAAAGCTTTTCATACAGATGGGAGTTGTTGAATGGTACCCTGTTTATCTCCGAAAACAACGAAAAGTGGCGCAAAAGTGGTTCTCCGGGACGCGGGCCACGGTTTGGCGGCTCGAGCGGCTCCGGAGATGCCGTTCGCCTCATGTGTGACTAATTGCGGGCCCACGCCCACAATGGTATAACAGCAGACTGATTCAGAGTCCGTTTTCGTCTCTCTGTCTCTCTCGCGCCTACAAGGACGCCCCAGGAGTGCGAAGGAGACAGAGCGACGAAAACGACTCTCTGAATCGGTCTGCAGGGTCGTGGACCGCGACGCCGCCAAGATGGTGCCCATCGTGGACCCGAGCACGCCGACGTAGTAAAACCCACAAGCCGGCTAACGGTCCACCGCATGAGTACTCGCGTACTCGTTCAAGCCGGCGCGCCGGCGAGCTGCCAGCGACCCTGGCGGCCGAATGCGGAACCTGCTGCTTCGCTCCACGCGCCGCCGTGCCGCCGCGCCAGCCCGCCTTGGGGGCCGCAGCGGCAACACATTCCGCACGCGCGAGCGAGGGGCTGCCTGCCGCCCAGGCGCGGCAGCGAGGCAGGCAGCGCCGCGGTGCACAGTGGGCCAGAAGCCGGTGGAGGCGGCCAAAACTCTAGAAGCGTTTTGAGCTCCAGAGTCGCTAAACAGGCCTCGAAACGAACGTGTGACCCCACCAATGGATTCCTCGTTCCGACAGCAATCCATTGATGGGGTCACACGTTCGGTTCGAGTCTCATCGAGTCTCATTTAGCGACTCTGGAGCTCAAAACGCGTCTGGAGTTTTGGCCGCCCCCACCGGCTTCTGGCCCACTGTGCGGTGACGCGCTACGCTCTCAGCAGCTACCGCCACGCTTCTACCGCTTCCTTGTAGAGCGGGTTTATCAACACAGGTAAAGTGGATGCGAAAAAAAAGGTTCGAGAGAAGGAGATACACGAAGGAGCACAAGCCATGGCGCGGGGGTCCAAAGTCCTGCAAACAGGTGCGAGGGGGCGACAACGAGGCGACACCGACGCTATGTGCTGGTCTGGGTTTTGTTGGCTGCTGCCTACAAACAGACCCACAGTGGGCCAGAAGACCGCAGGAGGTGGACAAAACTCCAGACGCGTGTTGAGCTCCAGAGTCGCTAAATGGGACTCGAACCGAACGTGTGACCCTACCAAATGGATTGCTCTCCGCACGACACTCTACCAAAAATGTCCTGTAAATGCCGTTAATTTATTACCAGTTTTCACTGTAGGTCAATTCACAGCGTTTGCTGTGAACTAGTTCACGGCGTTCACTGTGATCTCGGTTACAGTGTTCACTGTGATCTGGTCCCCAGTAAACACTGTGAGTTTGACGCCGCTGAGCACCGAAGTACTGCAAATCAGGCTCCAATTCACGGCGTTTACTGTGGCCAGATCACAGTGAACACTGTAACCGAGATCACAGTAAACGCCGTGAACTAGTTCACAGCAAACGCCGTGAATTGCATAACAGCAAACATTGGTAATAAATTAACGGCGTTGACAGGACATTTTTTGTAGAGTGGAGGAATCCATTGGTGGGGTCACACGTTCAGTTCGAGGCCTGATTAGCGAGCGACTCTGGAGCTCAAAGCGCGTCTAGAGTTTTGTCCTCCTCCTCCGGTCTTCTGGCCTACTGTGAGACCTGGTGAAGCCAAAAGTACCATCCTACGACACACACAAGGACCTTTCCGCCTTTACCTCAGAGTACTTCCGTTTTATTTTCATGAAACGCATTAACAAATATTTCTGTATGCCTAAATGCTAATGAATGGGCGTCATCAGGAAACAAAGCCACCACTCGATTTCTGCCAGGTAAAGTTCCCGGTCGAGTTTGGCAATTATTGATATCTTTCTTAATCTTCTCGTCGCGTGTCACTGGAACGTGGCCGCAGGACCGGCGCCTGCCTCACCTGGCCCTGCTGCCCTGCTCACGCCCCTCAAGCCACAGACGTGTCTGTGTACGTGTGTGTGGTGTGAGCCATGGTGTGAGCCGGCGAGTGCCCTTCCCCTTCCCCTCCACTGGCACGTCACCGAGCCTGTCACACACACATAGACACACACACACACAGACACACACAGACACACTCTCTCTCTCTCTCTCTCTCTCTCTCACGCACACACACTCACACAGACACACACAGACACGCTCACACACACACAGCAGCAGCTAGACACACTGGCCGGCCCAGACGCGCCCGGCCCCAGCGCCGCGCCGGCGAGCTGATTGCCAGTGCCAGTCCGTCCCAGTCCTCGCCGCCGCCCGCACGCTCTCCGCTCCGGCTCATCCTCGTCCCCGCCTCCCCGGTGAGTACCAGTGCCACACGGCCTTCAGGGCCTTCAGCCAGGCCCGTCTACACCAGCCACGCCACGGCACTGCTTTCCTCGTTCACGTTCGCACCACGAAGAAATCCTGCCCACGCCACTGCGACGTGAGACGTCGGAAAGCCCTAGATTTTGTTGTGGGGGTCGGGCCGACGTCTGCCGTCTGTCTGCCGGTGCCGGCGTGCCGCGCCGCGCCTCCACTTGTTTTGTTTTGGGCCGGCACTGGGTCCAGTCGCCCAGGTGGCTCCGATCCAGTCACAAGTCCAGTCTAGTTGACCGCGTCGGGTCCGCGTTGCTTGTTTTTGTAGTTTGTGGCAGTGGCGTGGTGCGGCAGCCGTCAGCCCGACGACGCCCTAATCGTGGCCGCGAACGCCCTATCGACGCCAGATAACGCCCTCGGCAGTGAAAAACGCCGGCCGAGGACGCGAGTTTGAGGGAAACTCGCGCCCAAGTGGTCACCGTGTCATTGTCAAAGTCGGCTCGGCTTGTTCGAGACGTTTTGGCGCGGCCGCGATAACCCCGCGACCCAGAGCAGACGGCGGGGCCGTTGGTGACCTTGCGGTAGGGCAGGGCTGGTGCGGTGCGGCACGGCAGGGCACGCCACGGACGGCAGGGCACGGCACGGCACGGCAGCCCGCCAATCGGCGTCGCCCGTTTCCCCGCGACCCGACCGTTCCCGAAGCATTCCCCAAAGAGACGAATAATGTTTGACAAGTTCGTGCCGAGGCCGATCAAGGCGGAAGGCATTGGCATTGGGATGGGATCTACTGTCCGTCTGTCTACCTGAAAAAGAAAAAAAAACAGTTTTTCAAGGTCTCAATTATTTTCATGTTGGCTATTTTCCGGCCCACACGCGCGGTGTCACGTTCGCTCCAGTACAAATCGCTGGCGCGCACGATGGCGGTGTGCTGCTACCCGTGCCGGCCGGCCGCTATCTAGATGGGCCTCGTCATCGGTTCTAAAACTGTTTTATTTTTTGTTTTCCAGCCCGGAAACTAGATCACCAGAGCGCCATGTCTACCGAAGAGGTGAGCGCGACGAGCCCGCTGGCGATGAAATTTCGGTTCAATTTTCGACAAAATGTCGGGAATAGTGGAGTTAATCCCGTTTGCCTCTGATTGCAGCTCTTCCAGAAGGCCGCCGAGGACGTGAAGAACCTGAAGAGCCAGCCCAGCAATGAGGAGCTGCTGGAGCTGTACGCCCTCTTCAAGCAGGGCTCCGTCGGCGACGTCAACACCGGTGAGGCTGACGTCGGCAGTGCAATTTAATTGCAAATTGATTGCAGATGCCCGACTCTTCGCAGTCGGAGGGTTCTCTGATTTGAATCCTGTCTGACCCGATGCCGTGCTCTATTTCAGCTCGCCCCGGCATGCTGGACCTGAAGGGCAAGGCCAAGTGGGACGCCTGGAACGCCAAGAAGGGCACCAGCCAGGAGGCCGCCAAGACCGCCTACGTCGCCAAGGTCAAGGAGCTCCAGGACAAGTACGGCATGAAGTAGATCGGCCTGCCAATCGTTTATGTTTTAAATTGTTATCGTTTTTTAATAAATTAATTTTAAATTGCAATGTTTCCGTATGTTCTTTCTACCTATGACTGCCCGCAAGAGAAGGGCCTGCCTCTGTCCATGAGAAACAAACAATGGAATAATCGAAAACGCATCGATGCCATACTTGCCCTTCACGAGCCTGACGCACCCGTTGCCTACACTAGTTGCCTAGGCTACGCTCTCACGGAGACCACGATTCTTTCACACTAGCGGCACCAGGCGGCACCAGCCCAGTAGATCAACAAAGCACACGTTATGCGAACGAGAAGCCGGTTGTGCGGCCGGTACTGTACAGGATGTACGGAGAGGTCTGGGTACCAGCGACACGAAGAGTTGCCTACTCTCCAGGCGTGAGACGCGCCTGCGGCTTCCGCGAGCCGACGCACTCCCTCCGTTGGCGTCTTCGCTGTGTTCCCCGGCGGCGGCGCGGGGGGGGGGGGGGGGAGAGTAGACGGCGGGCCCGCAACGCCGGGACCCTTGACCCTCGCGGCGCGGGGGTGACGGGGCGGCGCCACGCGTCGTAGTCGGCGTCCTCGGCGCGGAGGGAGCGGAGCACTCCAGGACGCCGCCGTGCGACGAACCCTGAGGCCGCGGTGCCGTGGCCAGCGATCACCTCGGCGACGAGGAAAAGAAGCAGTTAATTGCTGTGTAATTACGTTCACAGTTGTACGACGTCTTCACGCCGCCTCCCCCTCCGCGCGCCGCCCCTCCCCTCCCCCCGGAGTGCCGGGCGGCGCGGCGCCCACCCCGCCCCATTCAGTCGTTGTGTAAGAGTGAGGGGGGTTGGATCGGACCAGCCCGGGCGGCGGCGCTGCGGCGCGGTAGCGCGGCACAGGAGCAGCGAGCGGCGTGGACGGGGCCGCCCCGCCAGGCCGCCAGCGCGCAGCATCCCTGTCCACAGACTCGCAGACCACGCCGCGCGCCCCGCCAGGGCCGCCAGGGCCGCCAGTCCAGACTGCGGGGCACTCCGCGCACAGGAAGGGCGCGCACCGCAAGGCAGCCGCGGCACGGCGGCACGGCGAGCGGGAGGTAAATAAGCACTCGCAGGCCGCGGCGAAGGGAAGGGTGTTTGCCTCGGGGCGGAGCAGGAGCTGCCGGGCCGGGGCACACAGACGCGCGCGGATCCGACTCACGCAGGAGTTGCTTCAGTTCCAGGCGGCCGGAGGCATCGCGTCGGTGGAGCCGCGCGGAGGTTCGCGAAGAGCCCCGGGACGCCACCGCGACCCCGACCATGGCGTCAACAGGTGCCCGAGGAACGCGCAGGGACAGCGTGGCGCGCATCGCCCTGGCGTAAGTCGAGCACCGGCAGCAGCGGCAGCAGCGGCCCGGAACTCTGACGAGCAGCCGCGACAGCCTGCGGTAACTGTACACCCAAAGTTTCATGAGGTCACGGACGGCAGTCTGCGTCTCGCTTGTTTCCTGTTCCACTTCATCGGAATGATGCTTTCCTTGAAACCGGATATCTGTTCGTGCCACATCGGCGTCTCTTCCAGGCGATTTCCGATTTTGCCGCCCTTCGGAGGGGAGTTCAACCCTCGTCGTCACATGCACTCTTTTAATTGATTCACGGATTCTGGGTAAAACTTCGTGGTAGAGAACGATTTCGGGCTTTCGTCGACGCCTACCCTGCTGTGACTCGCACCACGAAGGTGTGCGCCCCACCGCACTGCTTCCTGTTAGCACCGGAACACGCTCGAGAGCCCCTCCAGCTTTAACCCCTTGGAGGCACTGTGCGTGATTCGGAGGAGAGGGGCTGCGTACGTACGTGTGCGCTTGTGTGTGCGCGTGTGTGTGTGTGTGTGTGAGAGAGAGAGAGAGTGTGTGTTTTCGTGCGTGTGTGTGTGTGTGAGAGAGAGAGATAGTGTGTGTGAGAGAGAGAGAGTGTGTGTTTACGTGTGTGTGTGTGTGTGTGTGTGTGTGTGTGTGCGCGCGCTCGTACGAGAGGCCGCCGCGCATGCGCGATCCCGCCGCGTGATTTCGGTTTTGGCAACCGGATCACGGGAAGTGGATTCGTCTGTGGGGAACTGATTACCGCTGTACAAACGCCCCGCTGCCGCATCGCGATGACGCTGGTCTCGTCACCACGCCGTCAGTAGACTGCACCCCCTTCCCCCTCCCGCCCGCGGGACTCACCCCGGCTCGGCTTCTCCCCCGCGCCGCGCACGGATGCACTTTTTTCCGCCCGTCCGAAAACTTTGACGGCGGGGTCTCGCGTTCGCCTCCGGGGCACCGCGCGCCGCCCTTTTGTCCGATCACCGGTCTGTCCGCCTGTCCTGTCCGGCCGGCAGTCCGCACAGTGGGCCAGAAGACCGGCGCCGGCGGCCAAAACTCTAGACGCGTTTTGAGCTCCAGTGACGCTTAACAGGGCTCGAATCGAGCGTGTGACCCCACCAATGGATTTCTCTCCGAACGAGGAATCCATTGGTGGGGTCACACGTTCGGTTCGAGTCCCATTCAGCCACTCTGGAGCTCAAAACGCGTCTCGAGTTTTGACCGCCTCCAAGCGGTCGTCTGGCCCACTGTGGTCCGCCCGCCCATTCAGCGCCAGGAACAACGACGGCGACGTGGAACGCGCGCGCGAATTCGCGCCGAAATCGGCCCCTGTTTATTCGGACTCCACTCCCCTCCCCCTGGAGCCCCATCTCCGCATTGTGTGGCTCGCAGCGCTCCGCAGCGCTCCCTGCAGCCGAGAGGGCCGTGCCGCCAGCAGCGCCACCAGCGCCAGCGGCCCGCCCCGTGCAGCCCTCCATAATTCGAGCTCCTCATGCACGCCATGTGGGGCGGCACGGCGACGCGCGGGGCGGTGCAGGCTGAGATGCAAGGCACGGAACAAAGTGGAGGGGGAGGGGGCGACGCCGCCGCCCTGGTGTTAGGGTGCACGCGCTGCGGCCGAACACGTCGCCAGACCTGTCCTCCACATCCCACGCCCCGCCCCGCCCCGCCGTCATTCACTACATACATCATGAGCCTGCCCTTCGAGCACACTGTGCAGACAGTGCAGCGCCACCCAACGCCCACTTTTCCGCCACCCACACCAATAAATTGGTCGCCTGGCCACCAATGAGCGCGTCGCGCGTCGCCGCGGCGTGTTTTGCTTCGTTGTGTTGGAATCGGTTGGAATAATAGCGCGGCGGGGCGGCGAGTGGCGGGCCGCCTATACGTCGCGGTAACACAAACACACGGCACGGAGTTGGACGGAGTGTCAGCAGCACACCGCCGGCCGCCGCCGGCACACCGCATTAGACTTGGCGCCCACACTGTGCGGACCGTGGCGATGTGGCGCCGCGGGGCGCCGTGCTGTGGCGGTGGCTGCTGGCGGCGTGGCGCGGCAAGGCGGCTGGAGGCCTGCCGCCCCACACGCGTGATCGGCGGGACGGCCTATCCGCGCTTCGCGGGCGCTCCCCGCGCCACGCCTCGGCGCGCTGGCGCTACGCGCAGACATGACACGCCGGGGCTGGCCGGGGCCGCGCCGGGTTCCTAGAACCGGGAATAGGAGCCACAGAGGACGCATGCCAGGCCCCGCCTCGTGCCCCGCCACGCCGCTGTTGCGCGAGGTCGTGCCGAGCTGCCTTCTTGCCATCCCCGCCCCTTTATTATTTGCCCCCCACTTTGATTACTCGCACCTTCAAAGCGGCGCTCACACTGGCGTCGTGTGTGCCCCGGTCATCAAAACCGGATCCACCTCCCCCTCCCCCACCCCCAGCCCCGTGGGGAAAAAGCAGCAGCCTCAAACGAACCCCATCCCCCGTCGCCGTGCAGTCCGGGCCGGCCCCCCGCCCCCACGGCCCCCGCCCCCACGCCCCCCCCCTCCGGCCCCGCCCCCACGGCCCCCGCCCCCACGCCCCCCCCCCTCCGGCCCCGCCCCCACGGCCCCTCGGCCCCACGGCGCGTACTTTGCCGACTGAAAGATTGATACGGGGGCCGGGCACGCCGGGGCAGTCGGGGTGAAAGATTAAAACCAGAGGATTCGGCCGGTCCCTCCTCGTGCCCCTCGTCCTCCCTGCAGCCCCGGCACGTCATCCCGGGGACGTTAGGGCTGGCCTGCGCCGTGCCTGCACCGTGCCTGCACCGTGCCTGCACCGTGCCTGCGCCGTGCCTGCACCGTGCCTGCACCGGGACAGGGGGTGGAGAGGGACGGTGGCGGTAATCAACCCCTCCGTTGCACTGGATCGGCCGCTTGGAAGGTAGGCAAAACAAACACTGCAGTGTCCCCGTCAGTCGACAAAGAGCAACACTGTACCCCTTCTTTGCAAAAAAATCCTGGATTTTGCGCGCCTGCACCGGAACCAGGGACGAGGGGAAGGGCGGGGAAGGGCGGGGAAGAGGGGGAAGGGCGGGGAGGGGCAGGGAGGGGAAGGGCGGGGAAGAGCGGGGACGGGCGGGGAGGGGCGGGGAAGGGCGGGGAGGGGAGGGGAAGGGCGGGGAGGGGCGGCCAGCGCGAAGGGCAGGGAGGGAAAGGCTCGCGGAACAAGACACGGCCAATTACGTAACCCAATCGCCGAAGCCGGCCCGCGTCGGCCGCGCCTCCCCGAGTGGAGTGGCGTGGAGTGGCGGCAGTGGAGGCGCCTGAGCAGGTGACCGTCAAGGCGCCGCGCTCGCTGCTCTGCTCGCCACGTTGCCTCGCGACGCCGGTAATTGCTCCGCTCAGAAAAGGCAGTTCTCGCCAGTCCGTTTCCCGGAATATAAATTTGATTTTGCTCGGCTTCCTTTTTTTCTCTCGCTGCTGCTTTTGTGCACTGGCGTTGCACAGCCTGATTCCAGGAACTTCTCTCTGCAGTGCGCCAACTTGGTGCAGAGGCCGTTGCAAAAGGGGGGGGGGACCCAGCCTCGTCAACACGTATTTTGGATGTTTGGAAAGCTTTGCCCTTTCAAATTTGATCCAGGAAGCGGAAGAAGGGGATAACTCAATTTTGGTCATTTTTCAGGAGAAACAAAAAACTGTTAGCAGGGAAAACTAAAACAAAACAAATGAATGTTGCAGATGTTAATAATTTCAAAAAGCATTAGTAAAATTTTGGA